ACCCGACAAGTTCAAGCATATAACAGCGAGAATGGAGGAATCCCGGCAAGGAAACGGACTATTGAAATGAACTGGGGCAGGACCCGGCAAGCAGTGGACGTGTATTGAGGGGAGCCTGCTAGGTGAACAAACGGAATGAAGTGATTTACGGGACGAACCCCAGGAAAAGAAACGAAGCGACATGAAGTAAGGAGTTACCTGAATTGCGGCAGAAGCCTTTCATCAGCACGTTGCCAGTGAGGGCGCTATTGCTTGCCTGGCACGAGGGCAATGATGTTTGCTTGGCAATTCGGCTGACCTCGAATGGTGGATGTAGCAATGGGTCATAACCTATGCCTCCATTTTGGGGCGGATGAACACCCATGTACCACCTATTTTGATGTTCACCAGGGGTACAGGGTCAAAACCCGCAGCCATGTAGCAATGTCAGTTTCAACAGCCAGCGATGTTACACAGCTGCAGCGGCCGGGATTGTCATCAGGCGATGTGTGAGGCAATGGTAGGCCCCTTGCACGGCAATCTTTGACCCACATGGCCAGCCGGATTTTGACTAGCCTCAGGCAGAGGTGGCTGTCATCAGACGGGGAGTGATCTACCAGACGGCAAGCTGCAACCACCAGACTTTGCTTTTCCTTTGGGAGGATACCAGTATCTATGTTGCCCTGTTTCAGGTCATGCGAACACAACTCTTGCGTTAAAGAGACAACACTTCCGCATTGTTTGTGACAAATTGCGACCGTGAGGTAGTACTACCTGTTTTCTTTTTGTTTGTCTCGCTTTGGGCGCTTGCTCACCGATATGATGCTCATTAGACTTGGACATTTTCTTTTTGGAGGCCGCCCCTTAGCCTTTGAAAGAGGATTTTGGGACTTGGCAACCATTTTGGGGTCTCCTATGTTGAGACACGCGCACACACACACACACAGTTGCACATTGGCTCCCAATCTCCTTCCTTCTTTTGGGCCGACCCAAAAAAAGGCCTTTTTTGCCCTGCATTCGAAATATTTGATCCTTCACGCACACACCACACACACCCAACACCCCCCCCCCCCGTCCCCCGCATCTGGATCCGTCCGTTTCGCACCAGGCCAGCGGCATGTACTTCGTGATGGGCGGGGAGCTGGATTACTGGCGCTCCGCGCTGCAGGAGCCCACGGCCATCGGTGCAGGCGAAGCGGGTGGAGCGAATGGATCGGGCCGAGTGGGTCGTCTTTTTTTCGGCGTGGGTTCAAAGGGAAGCCAAAAGGAAGAGCGAATTTATGTTTTCGTGGGTACCCCTAAGAGAAGACACGCCCAGGTTGTCTTTTTGTTGAGGGCATAGGTCTCGTTTTTGGTTTGCTTGCTTGCAAACAGATGGCCCTGGATGAATATAACCACCAGGTAAACCGGGGCCACCTAATTCCCACCAAAATCGCTGAGGGTACCCCTCTCGTAAACGGAACCCACCAAGGGGACCGACCACCCATGCCATGCACCCACAGGATTTTTGACCATGGCACTCAAGTATGAGGTTCGGGCAATGTTCGTTGTAGCAATCTGTAGTAAAGCGGCTGACCTGGGCCTTAATCACCAAATGACCATGAGAAAATGGATGCTACTCAACAGTTCAACGTCACTTGGGGGCACAATGAGTAATTATTCACTCCGGCTGATGTGTGGTCCGGTCGGAACTACCAGTCTACGGTACGGTCAATGTGGGAGGGACATGGGGCACTCGAGTTGCGCAGAAAATCTGGCAGGAGATCACTTGTTTCCCCAAGTCCATTGTGGGGGCCGCATATGTTGGCCGAGGCTCATGGTAAGAAGTGCGGAGGACACAACAATGGCAGTTGTCAACAATGTGATAAAAGCAAGAACACATATCACTGTTTTAGTCGACAACATGGGGTGATCCATCCAAAGCAGGCATCCATGCAGCGACAACTCACATTAGGACTTCTGGAGGCGGTTCACTCATTCATCAGTTTGCCGCATTGATGCAGAGGCACACACTCAAAAATGCTTGTTTCACACAAATCCTATGTACATGGTGTCCACCAAAGGGTCCCCAATCAAAGTTCACACACCTCTATCGCCAGATGGTCGAGCTGCAAAATCTGCAGCTACCTGCAGGGAGGCATGTTTACAAAACCTGCTAGATTTGTATTGCCATAGTTCCAAAATGTGTGCGGAGGGACCAGCCATTTCCCAGGCATTGTGATTCTTGCCACACGAGGTGTAAAGCTTTGTTTGGGCACATTCCAGTAACCGTAGTTGCCAGCCAAAGCGCCAGTTGTTTCTCAGGGCGACAAGTGTTGGCTTTTGGTACTTTGCTTTTCCGCACGGCTAAGAATCTCATTTGCTGGTCCAAAGAGGGGATATGGTGTGGAGTCTTTTGTGTTTGCACAATATCAAACATATAGGTGGGGAGGCTCCACAATCGGGCCCATTGCCTTAGGCGAATGGCTCAGCGAGATTGCGCTCTGGGTGAGCTGGAGGCCTCTGCCGGGCTCATCGGAGC